TCTGATCGGATGATGATGATGATGAGATTGTAGGATGTAGCCATATTAATAAGACCAGAAAACCCTGAAAAAATAAAATCTTAAAAATTAAAAAGAAATAAACAGTCATAAATTCAACAATATACAGTTTACATCAAAAGAAATGAAACCTTTTATATTCTCTATGAATTTTAATCGATAAGCTATTAATGGACTTGTAAGGAGTTTTTTTGAATTTTTTTTATGTTTTTCAGGGACATTGATAAACAAAATTCAGTCAGATGTCTGTTGGTCTTGAAATTCCATTAAAACTAAGCTTTATGACATCACTATCTTATCCTTTAGCAACATTTAGGGGTAGATTTCACATTAAATAACGGAACACAATTTTATGGTATACTACTCCTTAGTTTTATTGTACACAATGTTTTACCTGAAGATGACAATGTAGATTGTTGAAACATAGTGTGTAATAAAACTAAGGAGTAGTATATCATAAAATCGTGTCCCGTTATTTAATGATATCAGGAAAGTCCACTGATGAACAAAGCTTCATTATAACCAATATTTTGGTCATCCTAAGAGGTAGTATACCTTAAAGCACCATCAGTTATCAATATATATCTCACCTTTGGTGGTAACTTTCCAGGTTCTATTAATAAATGACTCCCATCCTGTATACCAGCTGATTGTAACGATACAGTATGATCATCCAACACCTCTCCTGCCTCATGACACCAATTTGTCTTTCGCAGATGCCATTCATCACCTGACGAGAGAAAAATATCAGATTAAAGTTATAGCTGATCAACCTTTCCTGAATATGTAATGAACCCAAATTCCCTTTACTCATTTCTGAGATATCAAAGGGCAAAATATGCTGTATGAGAATTGATATATAGGTAAATATATATAGAAATATTAAAACAGAACCTAATCTGAGCTAACTTTTTCCCTATGGGAGATTTTTGAGCTCTGTTTTTTTTCGAAATATCTAGACGGTCCATGTTGATATGCTTGCAAAATTTAGCTTTGTAGCATTGTAACTTTTCAAGATAAAAAATTTATTTGGATTTGAGCGCTTCTCGTGCTCCATTGTAACTATAAAATTTTTTTTTCTCTAATTGTTTTTAATTGGGTTTTAAGCTTTTTCCAATGTGACTGGGGTCCAATCAGTAGGAAAAGTCCAAACCATGGGCCAAATTGGGTTATTTCGCAAAGTTAGGGTATTTGATGTTTTCGGTCTATATAGAACCTAAACAAAATATGTTGTTACTCAGAGTTTCACGCTATGCAATCTTCACCAAACTGACCTATTTCAGCCTGCGTCCCTATATATTCAAGCAAAGATATCTATTCACATACAAACACTTGCCAGGCAAGAATCATGCCTTATTTCGTGTTTACGAGCTAAAAATTGAAAGCGTTTTCAAGAACAGGTGGAATAACTCCTGTAAAACATTTTTTCGATTTCTAAAGGTGTTCATCCATGGGTGATAAAAACACTCACACAAAGTTACGTCAAAATCTGTCAAGAATTGCACCTTCTAGAGTGTTAACGAGCATTTGGAACAAGGACAAGAGCAAAAACTCATACTAAACATTTTTCGATTTTTTTGATTTTCAATCAGATTCATCCTAGTGTGATAGCAAACAATCATACCATGTTTCGTTAGTGGAATATTATTGCTCAACAACAGCTATATCAACTGGCTAAATCGATTCAAAATGGCTGACATGTGAATAAGGTTTATTGTGATTCCTTCTATATCCTATCCTAAAACATTAGAACTCATACAGCAATAATTTCTCTTCTTTTCTGATGAATTTAGCGCATTAGTAGCCTATTACCATGACAACTTACTCTATAATTACCTGTATGATTTGACTGTAATAACATCATAGTTAAACACTCTCCTACTGTAACACTGTTATCTATAGTTATATAGTTATATTACCTGTATGATTTGACTGTAATAACATCATAGTTAAACACTCTCCTACTGTAACACTGTTATCTATAGTTATATAGTTATATTACCAGTATGATCTGACTGTAATAACATCCTAGTTAAACACTCTCCTACTGTAACACTGTTATCTATAGTTATATAGTTATATTACCTGTATGATTTGACCGTAATAACATCATAGTTAAACACTCACGTACTGTAACACTGTTATCTATAGTTATATAGTTATATTACCTGTATGATTTGACCATAATAACATCATAGTTAAACACTCTCCTATTGTAACACTGTTATCTATAGTTATATAGTTATATTACCTGTATGATTTGACTGTAATAACATCATAGTTAAACACTCTCATACTGTAACACTGTTATCTATAGTTATATAGTTATATTACCTGTATGATTTGACTGTAATAACATCCTAGTTAAACACTGTCCTACTGTAACACTGTTATCTATAGTTATATAGTTATATTACCTGTATGATTTGACTGTAATAACATCCTAGTTAAACACTCTCCTACTGTAACACTGTTATCTATAGTTATATAGTTATATTACCAGTATGATCTGACTGTAATAACATCATAGTTAAACACTGTCCTACTGTAACACTGTTATCTATAGTTATATAGTTATATTACCTGTATGATTTGACTGTAATAACATCCTAGTTAAACACTCTCCTATTGTAACACTGTTATCTATAGTTATATAGTTATATTACCTGTATGATTTGACTGTAATAACATCCTAGTTAAACACTCTCCTACTGTAACACTGTTATCTATAGTTATATAGTTATATTACCAGTATGATCTGACTGTAATAACATCATAGTTAAACACTGTCCTACTGTAACACTGTTATCTATAGTTATATAGTTATATTACCTGTATGATTTGACTGTAATAACATCATAGTTAAACACTCTCCTATTGTAACACTGTTATCTATAGTTATATAGTTATATTACCTGTATGATTTGACTGTAATAACATCCTAGTTAAACACTCTCCTATTGTAACACTGTTATCTATAGTTATATAGTTATATTACCTGTATGATTTGACTGTAATAACATCCTAGTTAAACACTCTCCTATTGTAACACTGTTATCTATAGTTATATAGTTATATTACCTGTACGATTTGACTGTAATAACATCCTAGTTAAACACTCTCCTACTGTAACACTGTTATCTATAGTTATAGAATCATTATCTGTACTACTGTCATCTCCCGGTGGAAACCATAGCTTTATCTAAAACAATCAACATCTACATTCATATATTTACATATTAACATAGGACAGGGCAGTCCAAACTGACATTGTAGGATACAAGACTTAGCGAATTAAAGTTTTACGTGGTACTTTTGGGCTAATGAGGACAAACAATTTTAAGGGATTTGATTGTTAAATGTGCGATAGTTTAGATTTCAAAATTGTTATCATTTTTACTTTTTTTAAGTAAAAAATTATACTGAACATGATTTTAAGAGCAATTTAGTCAGACAATGGATGACAACTGAAATCACACACAAAAAACAGATCTCAATTTTAATCAGATTGAGAGATTTCATATTCAAGACCAAATAAACAAGGCAGTGACTATTGTTACTGCAGCAGTTAACTTTGTAATGACTTGATTATGGTAAGTTGAGGATAACTTTCATGAATAGAGTGCAACTGCCATTAGGGTCTTTGTAAGGGTTAGTTTTAGGATAAGGAACAGTTCTTTACTGTATAAAACAAAGTGTATGTGTAGTCTGCCCTAAATTTGTTTCAAATAACAGCTGCCCAAAGCTCTATCTTTTAAAGGGTAACTCTATTAAGGTAGAAAAACAGAACGAACCAATGAATTACTGATAGCCTTTGGTCCTGATGGATATTCAAATAGGTTGATAGTTGTTTCTGTTTCTGGTGAAATTTTACCATTTTCTTCACTGTTTTCTCTGTAAAATAAAGAAGAATATTCATTAGTGTTGAAACGGTTAGTGAATTTTACAAACCGGGTAATCGTTGGCAATAACCGTTTGTTACCCAGTTAATTACAAAAGATTATAAAATAAAGAAGACTAGTCATGCAGTGTAATAAATGCTTACAGCTATCAGATATTATGACAGTCTTGAAAACCTGATATTACAGAAACTGTAATCTCTGTTCAAATCTAAATTTTCTGTCTACCTGAAGAAGAAATCATCCTACTCTTTGAGTCTTTAAATGCCATTTAGTAAGCAGAATATATCTATTTCTATATACGTCTTTACTTTATATCACACAGTATTGTGACGAGTCGTCATTTTAACATTCTAACGTGGATAATTCTAGACAATTTCAAGGCTAAAATTTCTACGGTAAGCTGTGAACACTATTACTGATTGAATTAGCTAAAAAATTCTCGTTTCTTAGACTAAGATATGATATGGTTAAAAAAAATGGTGCACCTGTCCCTTTAAGAAGAACAACAAAAATTACTAGTTTATGCAACATTTCAAAGTTACATTAAGCCTAGGGACAACCAGAGCAGTCTAAAAAAGCCATGATTATGACATACATACAGCTGTGTCACCAACAAGCTATTCACCATATAGCATATATATATAGGGCTGGGCAATATTACTTAAAGTTGATATCAGGTTGTTCAGCATTAATATATCATGATATGGGTATATATTGTGATATTTCTTAAGTATGATTTCAACTGGTTTAGGAAACAAAATGATTGGGTTTTTTTCTATCTAAAAATTTTAAGTAGAAGACAAAACAGTAAATATCTTTTAAAATCACCCCAGTTTTTAATATAATGAAAACATGATTATGATACGGTACTCAGTTACTAGTTAAAATTGTGTGAATGATCTTTGGACAAAAATTTGACAATACAGTATACTCTGCGTAGTCCGACATACACTGGGACCGCAAAATAATATCCGATTAGCGAGAGTGTCGGAGTACTCAACATTTTTGAACAAGTGCCACATGTTACTATTTATATTTCAGTGACACACATTCTACAGACGATACCTTTCTAATAAGACAGTAATACAAGACAATTCAGTTGTATACGTTACTATTATTTAGTATTTCATATTTTTAGCTAATGTACGTACGCTTTTTATTGGAATCAATATTGTCGGCAATACACTGTATATCACGATATGGTGATATTTCGGAGTATTTTAATCAGACAATATTACTAACAATATAAATTCCTAAACCAGTATTTATCGTGATACCTGTATATTGTCCAGCCCTACCATAATGGGACGAAAGAAAGAAAATCATCAGAAGTATCTCAATGTATCTTACCTTTCTTTACCTTCTATTATAACTTGGTCCCCATCACACAACTTCAAAAATTCTAAAGATTCCATTACGTCTAATATCACAGATTTATTTTCACAATCCATTTTTTTCACAGTAAAATTCTCCTTTTTTGGAATGTCTATTATAGAACTGAGCTGTTCTATTAATAGCTTCAAGGTCATAGTTCTGGGGAACCACCCTGGATGTTGGAAATTCCCTGATATCACAGTAAGAAAGATCTCTCCTGTATTATTCTGTTGTCCATCCCAGATAAACAGTTTATCTTGATCCATTATACCCACATCTTCTAAAACCATACCTACATTCTCTGAAAATAAAATAAACTGTTTTATTAATGTGCTAAGACAACCAGCTTGTATGTTCTGGACTATCTTTGAGAGTTGAGAAAAGGTTTTGATGCATATCCAAGGATCATTCAAAATATAAACACAACTTTATGTATGGATAGCTTATGGGAAAATTTAAACACCAAAAAATCTCTTGGCTTTTATCTTTCCCGAATTATCAGCACCCATTTACAGCTAGGTCGACTGGAAGAATGAGGAATGATGACTTATCCTAGGTCACAAGACTTTCACTTGCTGACCAAGATTAAAACCCACAATCATTTGTTCAACATAACCAATTCTATTACAAAACTTTACCTCTGGTTCACAGTTGATCTGAATTCTCGTTCTGTCTTACCTGACAAATTCTCCCGTATAAGGAATCCTGATGTTATTTCTTCTAATCTATTTATAACTGGTTCATGAGGCACCATTTCATTGCCTACCTATATCATAATACAATACACAAGGTTAAAACTAGGAAATAAAACACTAATACCAAAATACAACAATTTCTTAAGCTTTACTAGCCTTTTTCCCACAGATCATCTCAAACTCTCTGTTTTTAATTCTTTCTTCAGGAGTATACTGATCAATATTTCTAGCAAGGAACATTCTTGATGCTCTAAGATAGTGGACCACAGCCATATTCGCCCACCACGGCATGCGGATGGTAAATATTCAAGATTTTGGTGAAAGGGCAATAACTCTGCTTCTAATGGTCGAAAATAGCTCAAATTCGAACTTGATCTTCATTTTATGACGGACGGACGGACGGACGTACGGACAGGGGTGCCGACAATATACGTCCACATAGAGAGATGTGGGCGTATCAAAATAGCCTGACAAATATCGTAATATAGGGCCAGATATAAAATTTTCACATTTTATGAGTCCCCCTCACACACACTTCTTGGCTCTTAGTTTTTGAGAATATTTCCCAAGTTAAAAGCCACATATTGCATTTAAAAATGTTGGTATCTTTCAACAAACCATTAATGAGTCCATCAGGACATTGCCTGATACTATACAAGGACTCTGTGTATCCCTCATGATATCAAAATACAGTCTAGGGTAGGCTTAATTTACAGAGTTGTACGAAGAAGGAAAAATCCTACCCCTTGTCTGTTTTAAAGTACAGTGTCACAATTACATTATATATATAAGTAAATAACAAACCTCATAAATGGAAGCAAATAAGTCTGCTACTGTTTTACGTTTGTCTATAGTTAACATGGTATATTCTGGTGAACATGTGTCTGGTTTTATTACACAGTTAGTTAATATATAGTTACACGCAAAATATAGCTTTAGATTTATTCTATTCATTTCACCCTCATATTCTAGTCTCTGTTTGTGAATCTCATCATTTTCTTTTAAGGCGTCTAATAACAGATCATCATCTATACAATAAGCGGGTTTTTTCATGGCTAAAAATCAATCAATAAATCAATGATGATTACTTGATAATCAAGATTTACTCAAATAAAAACAAAATGTTAGGAGCTAATGAAAGAAATAATTTAAATACAAGAAAAGAGCTGAATCAAGTCAAGGTATTAGTTAAAGTTTATAATAGCCTGACATTGTGAAGATAACACAGCCTGTGGTACACAAGCTCTTAGAGAAACCTGGATATGGTCTTGAACATTTCTTAATTTCGGATTCAATTGGACTAGTTAATTAAAATATGCAAAGGAGGCAATTTTGTCAGGCCTATTAATTTCGAGAGTACTTTTATAGGGCACAAGGTCTCAGAAAAACATCAACAAACCTTCCTCAGGACGTTTTAAATTCTTTCTTCTATAAAACAGCATGTAGGCACTTTCTTTTCCTTTGAACTGTGATTCTAAAGATTTGACTGTTATTGGTGATACTCTAGAATCATTGTAATCATACCAACAGTTTCCTGGCTTCGGCAGGCCATTTGTGGGTGGGCTGAAATAAATACCATACACTTAAGCAGAGCTGTAACAGATACTCATTGACACGAATCTGTGGTTATCCACATTCCTCGATCAACGATAATATTGCATTATATAGAAAATTAAAAAACAACCAATTTTTGTGCTAGGATAACAATTTAGGTTCCCTAGGTTCCTGTCTACCAGCTGGCCCTTGACATACCTCTTGGCATTGATCTTTCAAGGATTATCCCTAGCTACCCATTTACTACTGGGTTGACTGAAATAATGAGGAAAGGTGACTTATTCAAGTCACAAGACCTACATCAGTCGACTGAGCTTACACTATAACCATTTGTTTGATAAAGATTTCAACACTCTTAATGACTGCGCTACATCTGACCTCATCTTCTGTAAATTGTTTACACTGTCAAAATACTGGATGAAACTAAGCTTGTAAAAACATCCCCCCTCAGAGAACACACATAACTAGTTTAGATAGTTAACTAAATAATGTTTTTTAATTTTTATTCCATAGCTTACCTGTCATTAGGAAGATCTTTAGAGGCTGAAGGTTGACTGGTTTCTATTGGCCTATCAGAAATCTTGTTGGATATAGAATAACCCTTCTTTAATTGTATCGTGCTTTTTGATTCGTTAAAAATAAACACATCATCATGTTTCTTGATGAACTACAAAAATCACAAAATGACATTAGATTGCAATTTATATTTCTAGTCTACATCGTAATCTAACAGTTTTCTACCACAGTCACATTTTTTTCAGAAATCATAATAAGATTGGTTTTCAAATGACACTTAAAGAACGGTTCCCTTATTTTTATTTATGAAAATGCTAATACTATATGAATGGAAAGTAGAGGTGTTCTAATGACTTGGAAAAATACCAGTTTGTCTCACATGTCCATAATCAATTCATAATTAGCTAAATTAGACGAGAATTACTAGCAGAATTCCAATGAGTGACCGATCAAGAAAGGTCAAAAAGTCTTTTTGTGTTCATCCAGACTGTGCATACATGGACATTTATGGTTAAAAATTATATGCAATAAGAACATAATGATATGATTAAGGATACTTGATAATTCATTAGAAACACCAATTAATCAAATAGTTTGCTTAATTTGACATTAAAAATAAGGAAACCCATCTTTAAAACATGTAAAAATGTTGTATAAAACTGTGATCAATATCTTCCAACCAACTTTATTCTTCAAACGATAATTTATCATCCCCTCTTTTTTTGATAATGTCATTGATAATGTCAGTATAAGAAGCAGAAGCAAAGCCAGTGAGCGTTCTCTATCACCTTCACAAGCCACTATTACCATATTTGCAGTTAATCAAGGGCTGGTACTCCATAAAATATTTGTTGAATCGTACCCCAATTCAAACTTGTCTGAGATCTTATGGATATACATGTAACCCTACACACAACTTTTATAAAAATCTTACAAAAACTGTGGCCTCTATTGTGTTCACAAGTCAATTGTACACGGACAGTGAACAGAGGTGCGGATGTATAAAAATCGACAATTACTTACCTTCGTTAACTGACCATATTTTCCAAAAATTTTCTTCCATGATTTTCCAGTCTGTGAGATAATTGCCATGCTCAGCTTATCTGCAGATATTGCTTTATTTTCATGATCCAGTAAAATAGCCTCCAGTAATTCAAAGGGTGTATCTAATTTTTGGACTGCTGCCTGTTGATTTTCTTTACTCGGTTCCAGATGTATTTTTTCCTCCTCCTGAAATATAATCAACTCATCTTTTCAGATACAAAATCATTTTTTGGAAATAGGGCTAAAATATAATACAGAATATTTGTAATAAATACGTAAGAGAAATACAGTGAAGATTTTACAAATATTTAATTTTTCAGAAATAAAAGCGATCTACTAAATCTCTGAACTCTATATCAACATTCTGTATCTTGTGTTGTTTGGTTGTTAATCATTTTACTTGTACGTTACCTGTATGTGTTTCGAAACATAGTATGTAATAAGTCTAGAAGTAGTATATCTATATAACTTGTGTTATTAATGTTACCTGTATGTGTTTCTAAACGTAGTATGTAATAAACCTAGAAGTAGTATATCCATATAACTTGTGTTATTAATGTTACCTGTATGTGTTTCTAAACGTAGTATGTAATAAACCTAGAAGTAGTATATCTATATAACTTGTGTTATTAATGTTACCTGTATGTGTTTCTAAACGTAGTATGTAATAAACCTAGAAGTAGTATATCTATATAACTTGTGTTTTTAATGTTACCTGTATGTGTTTCTAAACGTAGTATGTAATACACCTAGAAGTAGTATATCTATATAACTTGTGTTATTAATGTTACCTGTATGTGTTTCGAAACATAGTATATAATAAATCTAGAAGTAGTATATCTATATAACTTGTGTTATTAATGTTACCTGTATGTGTTTCGAAACATAGTATGTAATAAATCTAGAAGTAGTATATCTATATAACTTGTGTTTTTAATGTTACCTGTATGTGTTTCAAAACGTAGTATGTAATAAACCTAGAAGTAGTATATCTATATAACTTGTGTTTTTAATGTTACCTGTATGTGTTATTCTGTATGGTAGTTATTAATGACAAAATCAATATTCAAAAGATTAACTTACTGGACTACACCAGGTTCCTAGATTATCAATATCTCTAATATAGGCATGATAATGACCTCCATGGGCACTACCCTGATGTATTACTACTGAGAATAATTCATATACCTCATCATCACCTGGCTGGAAATAGAAAAATATTCATTCTATGGTGAATATTATTTATAAAAGCTATCAAACTTTTGTTTTACCATCAGAGTTTTCTTTCAGAACTTAGCTATGGCATATTTTACAGTCTAGTACAGTCAAGACATCTTTTCAGATACATTGGGTGTAATTTTAGCCAAAAGAGTCAAAAATTGAAAGAGAATATAAGCAATGAATGATCCACCACAGTAACAATTTCAAGGTATCAAATTGTTTCACTGCATTTACAGTAATACAAATATATTACTTAAGGTGTGGAACCCTTTCAACCTTAGCGGCCGGTTTACCGGCCACACACTAACACAATATATACCCGGTTTACCGGCCACACACTAACACAATATATACCCGGTTTACCGGCCACACACTAACACAATATATACCCGGTTTACCGGCCACACACTAACACAATATATACCCGGTTTACCGGCCACACACTAACACAATATATACCCGGTTTACCGGCCACACACTAACACAATATATACCCGGTTTACCGGCCACACACTAACGCAATATATACCCAGTTTACCGGCCACACACTAACGCAATATATACCCGGTTTACCGGCCACACACTAACACAATATATACCCGGTTTACCGGCCACACACTAACGCAATATATACCGAGCAGTTACTAAGTGACGTCATACGTTTTTACTTTTAGTACTTGAAGTTCAGGGGATATGACCATATAATTTCATTTACATTAAGGGTTCAAAGTTCGATTTATTATCCAATAAGATAATACTATTTCTTAAAATCAAGATTTTATCTAATTCAAGTTTTTGTACATAGGGGCAGAGATTGATAAAATAGTAAGGGTCTGCGTAATGCCATCTCCGACCTCAAAATTTTCGTCAACAAGGGGTGCGCATTATATACGGGTAAATGGATTTTTCCAGATTTTAATGGGGTAAGACAGGGGTGTGCATTATACACGCTTGCGCGTTATATTGGGAAATGTACGGTTAATACCAACCTTATCCATATATGGTGCCATATCTAATTCTAACGGGAAGGCAAATTCACCAACTTCTTTATATCTTTCCATTTTATAAAAATCATAACTAAATCTTAACAATGATACTGTCAGTATAGGAGGAAGTTTCTTTAATCTTGCACCCTACAACAATATATCAGTTTGTTTTATAAAATCATAGCATAGTAACATGTAACTTCTTTTCCTAGAGTGTTACACTGTATATCTCCTATTTAAAGGTATACTACCTCTTAGGATGACCAAAAAATTGAAATTTTTAAACTTGGTTAAAATGAGTCTTTGTTCAACAGTTGATTTATCTGATGAACTACGACAGAAACCCTGGATAATCTAATAAAGCCATAAAATAACATAATCCATTAAACTATTCAAGTAATTAACACTTCGAAGCATTTTTCAATAATTATTTAGTTTAATGGATATATCATGTTATATAGAGGTTCTATTCATTTGTCATGGTACCTGGTAAGTCCAACTGATGAATACATACACTTATTGACCAAGTTTCAGCCTTTAAGGTCCATTCAAGGAGGTAGTATTCCGTATGCAAGGACAGTGGCATTAGCCTGCTCTTTTTCCAATTGCAGAGGGATCTTTAACACGTGCAGACTGTAGCACTTTTTTTTATGTCAGCCCGTCTTAACTGCATCACTGACAGGGGAAAACTGGGTTGAAAAATCAGAAGGTATCATCTTAACCTATTCCAGGATTGATCTATCAGGTTGGCTCCTCAAACGAGAAGTACCATCATGTGTTTCGAAAAGAATAAGCATAATGTCAAACTGGGCTAAGAAATATAGTGAACTAACCTTTTTGGCATCAACGAGTTTCTGACATTTTCCACATTGATACTGATTTCCACCATCCAGTGATTCCGTTTCTTGGTAATATCTAGATAAAGTTGATTCTAATCCATCATAACCACTGATAGTTAATGCTAGATCTAAAAAATCTTCCTACAATAAAATAAATTACCGTACATTTTTACCTTTGTGCTTGGGATTTAAGGTAAAAGTTTTCATTGCTCTATTTATGTTCTATTCTCACTGAATCCTTGTTCTTAATCTATTGTTTCTGTAATTTTTTTATAGACAACACTTGTTTTTGAGGATTTAGTTTACCCAAGATTCCAAAATGTGCAATTATCAACTGACATCAGCTTACCTCTCTTCCACTGCAAGTACCACATTCTGAACATGTGATCTGAAGGGGAAAATATTATAATTCATACTCATTTCATACCATCTTTGTACCCAATTATTAAAGAAATTCAACCTCTTTGAATAACAATAAAATTTAAATTCTACCTTTTATATTGAAAGAAACAATGTTACTTCTCAAACTCGGCCAACAACAGTATATTCACCAGTGGAATTATCTGATGTTATTATTATATTATTTATGTCTTTATACATCAAGTCTAATTAACCGTAATTAAAAATACTAATAATTATTGACAACTAAATGCTTGGAAATCAAAAAAATGTTTCAGAAATTTTACCTGATTGTCAATAATACCATGGTATAAATTTGTGATCAAATTCTGACCAGAAGTTCCTGCTAGAGAATCACTGATGGCGCTAAACAATATTCTACTTAATTCTTGTACATCATGCTGTTGATGTTGCTAAAATAGACAGATCGATGAATGAATGAATGAATGTAGCAATGAATGAATGTAGCAATAAATGAATGAATGAATGCAATGAATGAATGAATGAATGAATGAATGAATGAATGAATGAATGAATGAATGAATGAATGAATGAATGAATGAATGAATGAATGAATGAATGAATGAATGAAACGAAATCACATGGCATTATATATTTATGAGATGTCAGAATAGATCAATAAATATGAATAAAACTGTGGTCAGAAATCGTGAAACAGAATGCTAAGCAATCAGCATTATAGGATAAAAGATAAAACTAACCTCATTCCCATTCCAGCCGAAACTATCAGTTAATTCTCGGGTTGAAACACTCTGTTTATCTGCTAACAATAACCTCGTAAATAACCTCTGTAACTGGAGTGGTATCACTCGAACCTAAAACATAAAACAAAGAAAAACTAAAGCCACTCGTGGCACAGAGTGGGACTTTGCAAATGTAGCAAATTGCAAAAGACCCTGAAAAAATCATCCTTCCACGATAATTAGATCAAGCGCAAGAACAGTCTAAAGTTGAGAAATTTTCATTTTTTAGAAGATTCTAATACCGGAAGTAGACGTCAGACCTCACAAATGAAAGTATCAGCAGATAGCCAATGTCAATGACCTTTGATCTTGTAAAAAAGAAAGTCTAAAATGGTCAAGATCAAGAGATATACGTCATCAAAATTTCTAATTGCACACGACTATAAAACCGGAAGTTGACATAGGACAGCAAATATGAAAGTACAAATAGATAGCCAATGACATTTGATCCTACAAAGGTCAAGGTCAACAAAGGTCAAGGTCAAAAATTGAAAATTTTCAATTTCCAAAACCTGCTCCTTTTTTTGAACTAAGAAGCGGAAACAACCGAAATTCTAAGACAAAGTGGCTCACAATATGAGGTATGTGTATGCGAAGTTCCATTTTGAACAAATGTATACTTTGCGAGTTATGCCCCTGGCCAAAAAACCCGTTCCTTTTTTGGAACTATAAAGCTGAAACAACTGAGCTGTTAACACAAACTGGCCAAAAGGATGAGGTAATTGTGTGCAAAGTCCCTTTTTCAAAAAACGTATCCTATGCGAGTTATGCCCCAGCCCCAAAATGTACACAATTAGTAATTCAACCCGGATGTGCCACGCCCACCCCAATTTTTTTGCCATAGGTGAATTCATATTCAAAGTGTCTAGTTGTATTCCAAATATCAAGGTTCTCCATAAAATAGGTCATAAGATATACATACACGAAGATCAAAAAGACACAAATATGGTAAAACAAAACTCAAATTTGAAAAAATCACCAATTTCAATTTTGCTTTAAAAAAGCAATTGTTCTATATCTATGTAAAGTGCATGAGAAGAACATTAGGAAACCGAAAAAATTAACCCTCTAGGTTAATTAGGTCACGTGTTAGAGCAGTCCAAAGTTGCGAATTTGGCTTTTTACGGATAGCTATAAAACCGGAAGTACATGTCTGGGGTCAAAGGTCAAAGTATCAAATGATAGCCAAGGTCAATGACCTTTAACCCTATAAAGGTCAAGGTCATCAAAGGTCAAGGTCACGAGATACAAGCCTTCAAAAATTGAAAAAATTCGACCGGAAGTTGCAAAAAAGCAAAAGTCAAATTCAAAAATCCATTTCCAACATTTTTGTCGCCATCGACTAAAGTATACACCAACATAAAAATTTGACCGATCCCATTCTCCCCCGAAGCCCCATTTTGAGTTTTATGAAAATGTATCAAATCAAGATGGTCGCCGAAGTATTTTTTTCAGACTAAATTTTATTTTAAAATCGGCCATAGAATTAAGATTAATAACGATATACATAATTTCGTTGAAATATTTCAATCACACCGGAAGTTATTCAACCAGAAGTGAAAATCGATTTTCCACTTTAACCGGAAGTGACGCAAAAATTTGGAATATGTCAAATGGTTTACATTAGTGACATGCATCTTTTATCAAAATTTCAGATTAATCCGAAAAAAACTGAAAAATGGTTCAAAAATTTCGAAAATCGGCCAAAAAATGTCTGCAAAAAATTTTCGAATTTTGAAATTTTGAAACTGCTATTCTTTCAGATTTTAACAGTATATTCCAAAAATGCAAACCCAAAGAAAATCGACCGAAAAATACGACTTCTAGAGCCGATTATCTATTCTTGCACATATTGAACTGTGGCACTTCCGGTTTTGCAAAAAAGATCCAAAATACATTTATGCACATCGTCGCCTATATCTAAGGTTCGTGAATGTTGAATGGTTGCTGCAACTATTGTAGTCTAAGCTCAGGAAGGTGTGTAAAAATCGAAAAAAAAAAAAAAAAAAAAAAAAAGAATTGACATTTCGATAACCCTTAAGAATAAGGTCTATAGCCTGTATACTATATCAATACATCTAAATAACCCTTACCTATCAGAATTTATCAATAAATGAATGAATAAAACTGTGGTCAGAAAGGTGTCAATTTTATGCAGTGAATAAGGTCTATAGCCTGTATACAATACCAATACATCTAATAACCCTTACCTTGGAACCTGGCTTATCTCTATCTTCTAAACTTCCTAACTCTTCTTTAGGAATTTGAAACAATGCTTCTAGAATAGTTAAAGGGGATACATAATGAAAAATCAGCAATAAACATAATTAAATAATTAGAAATATTAAAACAGAACCTAAAAAAAATGTTGTTTTTACTCAGAGTTTCACGCTATGCGATCTTCAGACAACTGACCTAATTTTCAGTCTCAGTAACAGTAAACTCTGAGTAACAACAACATTTTTTTAGGTTCTGTTTAAATATTTCTATATCTCTCTACAATTAATGTATTGAGCACTATTTTAACAGTGGTATTTCTATATCGCTCTACAATTGATGTATTGAGCACTATTTTAACAGTGCAAATAAGTTATTGTATTGTACTGGTAATTAAATAATTAAACAGATTGGGAAAACTATGTTCATTTGACCTAGAATAACTGTTTACAAACTATATAGCAGATTAGACTAGAACTAGAATAGATATCATTAACTTTCAATCAGTGTCTATAAATCTATCAAGATTACTTTGAAATTCCTAGAAGATCAAATAAAGTTTTTTTGTTCTCAACTAAAATAATGGAGTTTCAACCCCTATAAACTATAAAATAATGTTAAATGTGGCTCGTGAATGCGATAGAGGCAACAGTGTTTTTCTGACTTATATAAAATTTGATATGTACATTTATTTTGATGATATCATCGATAAATTTGGGTAGGCCTACAGTACAAATCGACAAAGGATAGCAGAGCTTAAACCCTTGATACACTGAAAGTATTTTAAATGTGACTTGTGAATGTAAAGTTTAATTCACTTACCCCTAAATTCTGGAGTATACAGAAGAGTCTGTAGCAAGGAATTTAGATAACATGTCGCACCCTGATTTTCTATACCAGCCATATTGCAATCTAGTCTAGGTCGAGGGGGTGAAACTGAAAGTGGATTCCCATTTCTTTTTCCAAGAAAAGCGTCTGATTCACTACAGGTGACATAGCCCTCCTCGTCATCTCCAAATAAACTGCACAACATTATGTCAATAACTTTATGGATAAGACCATAGACCCCAATGAATGCAGCCAGTGTTTTGATATTTGTTGTTTATTTTGAGTATTTCGGAGAATTAGAATTGGAAAATCCCCATAAAGTACAGTAGCAGTGTTGACAGCCAGTAACAAGTTGCCATATTTAAAGATAGTCAACCACTGTTACAGTGGCAAAGGATATTTCGTCAGGTTTTGTTTCATGATTTCATTTGCATTAAGAAATAGGTTGAATAATCCCCCGTTCGTTGTTTTGTTTATTTCTGATTTCCTCCATGTGTAATTTCCCACTTCCGGGTAAACATTAGTCTCGCGATAAACACAGTATCTGATCTGATTAGTCAAAAATAATAATGTTGGCTCTCTAAAAAGCTTCAAATTGATCAATTTGATGTGAAAGAAAATAAGTAAACTAAAATCTACTCTTTCGTTTGATTTGCATATTCACAAATTTATTTATAGAATCTGAAAAATAGATAAAGAGAATGGTGGTTTCGTACATTTTTCATATTGACAGAAAAGTATAAACAAACGTCAATAAGTAAACTTCTAGTTAAAGATTTTTCTGATAAATTTTTGATACAAATCCAAATCTGAAAAGAGTTTCAAATGTTACGAAGTCGCCAATAATATCTTATAAAAATGTTTTATGAAAATATAGATATAATCGTTTCTTGTTTAAATTTAGATTAAATTTACTGATTTTATCGATGACGTCAAACCATGTGTGGTAAAGAACTGAAAGCGGAAAGGTGAGGAAATTGCGAGGGAAATGAAAAACCATATTTATGACAAAAAATGTGTCAAAGAAGACCTTTTGTCGGTTGATTTGAAATTTTGTTAATTCAGAGAACCTTTTTATATCGAAAAATTCGATCTTTTCCCCTTAGATTTTATGGATTTTCTCGGCGAAAATTTGACGTCAAGCTGGATGTGTTTCTATATTTAGTAACATGCCATGTGGGTAGACCATGATGATTGGTAACCGCTCCTGTCATTGTCTGCGTTTAGAATCGTTTACGTAATACATTAATGTTACATGATGATTTGATTAGTTTAAGATTTCTAAATCAGTAAGGTTGATTACTACTTATAAGTTTTACTACTAATATGTTTGAGTCTGTTTATTAAGAGGATAGCCTACAGACAGTGACACTTTGTTAAACTGGATAGTGGAGTATTACTATTAGTAACTTGGTAACTGATTCAGTGATACAATAATCTTATTTAATTAGTTTAGTGATTACTATTTCTAATTAGATTACTATCCTACTATTTTAGTTTAAATGTTCATAATTGATTCATGGCTTTCTGATATTTTTAATATTAACGGTCTGATAATCAATGACAGTAGGAGTAGGACTGCTAACTGAACCTATTTTACATTATATTAAAGGTAACTTCTACTGACATGCCTTTTTGGAAAATATAGGCCCACTGGAATTAGTATTTATTTGTATGACTTCGGGTATTTAATTAGATTTATAATAGGTGATGTTAAAAGTATTATTTTTTGACTCCTACCGTAGAGTATTGTAGGAAGTTACTCAAAAGGAAATAAATTGAAAAAACTGTTCACAAGACAGGTTATATGATCTGATTTATTATTAGATTAATCTAGATATATTAAAATATTTATTTTCACTCTACCAATAATAAAATTTACAATAGCTTATCGAGTACAAACAATTTATGATCAATACAGTATCCAAGTGGAAATTGCAATTACAAATTGTATTATAGGATTTTCTTTCATAGTGAAAATCAGTTTCTGATATTAAGAAACAAATCATCATGTTATGTCAATTACGAAAAAAGAAAAAGATAAAAAAGAATTGCTTTGATTTTGTGATGGGTTTTGAGACTACTTTAGCCAATAGCAAGGGTAGATAAGTTTCTCGACAGCATGGCATATTGTTGATTTGTCAAGGACTTGTTTCCAAGACAGACTTATTTATTTAGCCAGTGGTCTTTTGAGAAAAGGTTCAAATTTGATTTTGTAATCAAGTTTTTTTGAAAGAACAATTTTATTTGTCTATTGGAACTTTTGATGCAAGTAACCGAAAGGAGTGTACATCAAAGTTGCCTTCTAATTCAGCCATATGGGTTTAAGCCTTTGAACCCTGAGTGTTAATGAAATATAACATCATATACCCTGAACTCCAAGTAACATAAGTTACAGTGTATGATGTTGATGTTGTGCGATGTCACTTAGTAATGGCTGGTTTACCGGCTGCTCCAGTATATATTGCGTAAGTGTGTGGCCAGAAAACTGTCCGCTAGGGTTGAAATGGTTAAGAACATCTTGTCTTTATTTCAGAAGCACACATCTCTAACCATCTTAACAACAACTTATTACATTCAAAATGCCGTCAGATAACAAAAAGAAAAGAGATGCCAGAAAAAAACTAGAAGCTAAGAACCGACTGTTAAAATTGAGTGGTGTCGAGGCTGAAAATGAAGAGAATGGTGTGAACGAGGAGGAAGGGGACACCAATGGAGTGGCTGAAGAGAATGGAAAAATAGAACAAAAAAATGGAGCTAAAGGTAAATTTACGAAAAATGAAATAATATTTCAAGTAAATCTTCTGTTCTCTCTGAGAATATTGCAAATATTTTCAAAAATGTTGTAGTGAAATGCTTTTCTTGAGGAATGTTTCAAAAATATCTCGTGCGAAGAATTATTAATTGGTGTTATAGATATTGCATAATGAAGCTTTGCGGTACTGGTACCTTTTTAACATTGAAAACATGTCATCCTTTTGTTAGACACGACTTTCGGAAAGGATAACAGAGTTATCTTACCTTGTGACTTACATAACATAAATCTCATTAACAACTGTTTGTGTTAAGATGAAATGAGAATTTATCTCGAGGCCCAAAGCAAGGATTATTCATTTCAAAGTTTGGGTTAGCTTAGTAATGTTAAGTTAGTTTTAAGAATAATATAAGTTTGTATAATTTCAGAAATTGAGAAGCTGAGTGATGATGTAGATGATTTGGCTCTGGCAGCTAAATTCCGATCCTGTACTGGTGTATTGACATCTCATGGTGAGAGTCGAGATATACATATAGATCATTTATCTATGAGATTTCATGGAGCTGAGTTATTGATGAATACTAGTTTAAATTTAAATGTGGGTAGAAGATATGGTCTTATTGGTACCAATGGTTGTGGTAGGTATTAATTTTCTTAAAAGAGGGGTTTGGGTTCATGATAAATCTGGGCTCTGTATTGTCTTGTAAATTATGTTTGTCCACCGCCTAACTTTACTTACCCGGTTTCCCCTTGTCAGTGAAGTAGGTAAGAAGGGGCTAACATGGAAAAAGCGTCTAGTCGTTCAGATGGGACAATAAACTGAGGCCCTGAGTGCTACAGCCTGTGCATTTTAAAGATCCCTCGACAGTTAGTAATCGAAAAAGAGGAGGCTAGTACCACTGTACTGGCAAAAATTTCCCTCATTGCACCCTGCATGGCGTTGCCCGTCTTCATCAGCTCACATGGTGCAGAAAATTAGGACGTAAAACTCCATTAAATTTCCTCTTATTATTATGAAAACTTTATTTTATATTGGTTAGTTTTCACTAAAGAGTATCTCGTGTGCTACAATCTTTGTACAGGCAGAATGATACAATTTTGTATAGTGGAAGAAGGTAAAACGTACTCTTACAAACTCTATTTTAGTTTATAACCTTCAGGTAAGATCTCTCGATTTCTGTAAAATATAAACGATTCATCTCTTTACAGGTAAATCTTCATTATTGTCATCGCTTGAGGCTCGAGAATTGCCGATCCCCCGACATACTGATATCTATTTATTAAGAAGAGAAATGGCCGCCAGTGATAAAACTGCTCTACAGGCTGTGATGGAAGTAGAAGAAGAGAAACTGAGATTAGAGAAAGAAGCAGAAGAATTATCAGATAAAACTGATCAAGGTTAGTGAGAGGAATAGTAATTAATTCTTCTTGTTTTTATCTGGTTTGAATGAAACTTGATTGTGATGAGAAATCAGTCAAGTTTGATGTTATCAAGTTATTGCCTGTACCTCAAGCCAAAATGCATCGGCCTCTCCTTATAAGGACAAATTGATTACCTTCAGCTGTCTTATTTGTTTCTTCATCCTGATATATAACCCTGTATTTTAGATTCTATGGATCAGTTGATGGATATTTATGAAAGATTAGATGACATGGACGCCTCAAAAACTGAAGCACAAGCAGCCTACATCTTACATGGTCTAGGTTTTACTAAGGAAATGCAGAATCAAAAAGTGAAGAATTTCTCTGGAGGTTGGAGAATGAGAATAGCTCTAGCTCGTGTGTTATTGATTAAACCTGGCTTGTTGTTACTGGATGAACCTACTAATCATTTAGATTTGGATGCCTGTGTCTGGCTGGAAAATGAACTTAAAACGTAAGTCTCTTTTATGCGATGTATTGCCACATGTCCTTATTGCTAGGTAGTGTATCGATACTTGACAATATCCGTCATTCCATAAAATATGTATCGTATCATGACAATACTTGACAATGCCTCTCATTCCATAAAATATGTATCATATGACGCTTTCGATACTTGACAATACCTCTCATTCCATACAATATGTATCGTATCATGACACTTTCGATACTTGACAATACCTCTCATTCCATACAATATGTATCTTATCATGACACTTTCGATACTTGACAATACCTCTCATTCCATACAATATGTATCGTTTTATGACACTTAATTGTGATACATATTTTAGCTTAGCAGGATTGGCAATATCTAGCACTAGAGTGTATTTTCGTATCTCTGAATAAACTCGATCAGGTCTCCAAGGTTTAAGGTTTGTAGTGAGAGAATCAATGATGATAAAACTTGCTATAATGTATTTAGTTAGTACATGTGGTACTCTAAATACCTGAATTATAATGTAGATAGGGCAAGGGCCATCTGAGATTCTATTTTCACTTGATAATGGATAACCTGGGGGGTTAGATTAATCAAACTTGATTTACACAAATTGTGTGCTTGACTCTAACCTTTTACTAGAGATTTTTCTACTAGTTTTAAATTCTCGGTTGAAGCCAGCCTTTGAATAAGAAGAATGAACAAGTCTTGAGTTAGAAATATTAAAACAGATTCTTAAATAAACGTGTTGTTACTCAGAGTTTAACGCTATGCAATCTTCAGACAACTGACCTATGTAATTCAATCTATATATTGAGCACTAATTTAACAGTTATATTTCTATATTGCTCTACAATTGATGTATTGAGCACTATTTTAACAGTGGTATTTCTATATTGCTCTACAATTGATGTATTGAGCACTATTTTAACAGTGGTATTCCACATTCAGAGCCATCTTGTATTTATTTCAGCTACAAGAGAATATTGGTGGTTATTTCTCACTCACAAGATTTCCTTAATGGTGTCTGTACAAATATTATTCACTTTCATCTTCAGAAACTCAAAATATATACGGTAGGCATTGATTATTCCCAAATATGAAATTAATATATTTATCTGGTGACTTCTTGATTTATCTATCTTACATTTTTCCATCTGGAGATAAATTGGTCCTACTTTACTGCACCTGATTGAGCTTATGAAGGCAGGCAAATCCATGCAGTGTGTAATAAGGGAAATTTATCTGAACAGCAGCATTGGCCAACTCTTTTTCAATTTTTTTCGACTGCCTCTCCGAACTCACACCTACATCACTGACAGAGCAAGTCGGTTGAATGGTATTATCTCGATCTAAGCTGAGATTGAATCTTCGACCTTGATTGTAAGCAACAAATTGATATCATACACATGGAGTAGAAACTAGGGGTTATAGTTTAACATTTTAAATAATGGTGTATATCTGTTGTTTATTTATAGGGTAACTATGATTCGTATGTTCAAACTAGATTTGAATTAGAAGAAAATCAAATGAAGAAATATAAATCAGAACAAGATCAAATAGCTCATATGAAGGTAATTTATGTTTCTGTTTATTTACCAAGGGCTTGAGTGGAATTGTCTGATACCCCATTCTTGCATATTAAGTAGCTTAACTTTGTCACTTGTCCATCTTATAAAAAATGAAAATTTAATGCCAATACTTTGTTGTTTTGAAGTCCATTATTTTTAAAAAGGCTTGAACATTATAACAATAAAACTGTTAAATGTAAATAAGCAATAGGAGAAATCAGCTGAGCCGTGATAGAACTGATGAATGACTTAAGGACAAATCAGTCTAATAACTGTTAAAGTTGTGCATCATGTGATACACAAACCACCTCTATGACATCGCAGCGTTCTCTCCTATTCAATAAGTTCAAAGATTTAAGAAATATATCCGTTTTCTATGACAGCTGTTTTATTCAAGTTTAAATTTTTATTTTTTTATTGTTTAATTTTAAATGTAAATATTTTTGAGTATGGATGATTCAATTGAATGTGGCACATTCTCATGGTTCATTTTTATTCATGTTTTAATTTTAATGTAGAATTACATCGCAAGATTTGGTCACGGTTCAGCTAAGTTGGCTAGACAAGCTCAGAGTAAAGAGAAGGTATTGAAGAAGATGGTAGATGGAGGGTTAACAGAGAAAGTCAGTCGTGATTATTCTATATCGTTTGTATTTCCCAGCTGTGGTAAAATACCTCCACCAGTTATCATGGTTCAACATGTATCATTTAGATATGCTGACGGCAAGGTAAGGGAGATAACTTTCTTTTGAGTTAATTGACTCTCTTGACTCTTGCAATTTCTCTTTTACAACCAATGCAGTTGGCACAAAATCAAATACATGCTTAATTTAAAAATATTAAAACTTGTCCAGTAGCCAATGTCTAAAGTCTGCTTCCTTTGGTCACTGGCTTTGCCCTGAACATTCTTTTACAACCAATATTAAATAACAAGATCCACATTTAATCTGTATGATCAAAGGAACTTAAAAGAAGCAAACTGAAACATTAATAAAAATTATATGTATATTTGCAGCCATTGATCTACCAGAATCTAGATTTTGGAGTAGATTTAGATACGAGAGTAGCTCTTGTAGGACCTAATGGCGCTGGTAAATCAACACTATTAAATCTTATAGTAGGAGATGTAAGTAAAATTATTATTTAACCAAGTAAACCATTACATTTCACAAAACCTTTCCAGCCCACGTAGCGTTTTCAATAAGAAAACCTACTACTGGCAGTTTAACTAAAAAATGTGACCCAACCATAGCAAGAGTTGAATAGAATGAAAGATAGAAAACCTTTAGAATGATCTGAAAGGCTCTGATTTACTATCTGATACATTACAGTGGATGTGTGGTCAAATCCAATAATCGTTTAGATTCTGTCAAATATTGAAACAGTTTCTGCAAGTGGCCCCTTTAAAGAAGTGTAATTGTAACAAGAATTTAATTTAGTTATTTTGTTTCAGTTGGCACCAACAGATGGTTTAATTCGAAGACATTCTCATTTACGTATAGCTCGATATCATCAGGTTAGTTCAGATATATTAATGTTTGTCAACATCAAATGTGTGACTCTAGAGCTGCTGTCACTCAGTGAGTTAGATGCTTGCACGCTTACCTGAAGGTCCATGGTTCAATCCTGGCACAGGACAAGATAATACCGTCAGATTTTTCATTAATGATCTCCTGTCAGGAATTGAAAAAGAGTAGGATAATGCCTCTGATCTGTTGAAATATCCTCATTGTACACTTCATGGCACTGCCTGTCTTCATTAGCCCAATCAGGTGTAGAAAAGTAGGACGTAAAACTTCATTCATTTCATTTGACTGCGTTATATTTCACAAACATGGTCTTTTTGGTAATTTATAAATGAATTTTGTTGTTTTCAGCATTTACAAGATCAATTAAACCTGGACATGTCAGCTTTAGACTGGATGATGGCTCAATTCCCAGATATCAAAGAACGGGAAGAAATGAGAAAAATTGTAGGACGCTATGGTTTATCTGGCCCACAACAGGTAATTCTTATAGTTCCTCTAATAACACAATCTATAAGTAGACATACTGAACAGTAGCATTGGTATTTGGGGTTGAGATGACTCTCAGAAGCACTGGCACACACATCAGAATTTTTCTTAACTTTGAGGATTCAATCCTGTTAATTTTCTAAAATGCTGTATTCCTTTTCATTGGCCCTATTACAAAATAATATTCAATGGAACATTAAGGTGATCAACTTTATTTCACTGTATATATTCTCGTACCAAGTTGTACCAAAACAGAACTAACAACAATTCTGAGGTTCTATTTTTCCTTGTAAATAAATAATGAAATGCTATTTCATGTTATTTTATGGAAAAGTCTTGGTATTGTTGTTTCATACGTAGAAAGATTTTTTATGAAGTTTTGCTTTCAATCATTTCAGATTTGTCCGATTCGTAATTTATCAGACGGTCAGAGATGTCGAGTTATATTTGCCTGGTTGGCGTGGCAGTCACCTCATATGTTATTGCTAGACGAACCTACCAATCATTTAGATATAGAAACCATAGATGTACTGGCCGAGGCTCTTAATGATTTTGAAGGTGGCATCATGTTAGTTAGTCACGACTTTAGACTCATTTCACAGGTCAGTTTTCTTTTATTATATTTCCTTAGTTTAGATATTTCATTATATATTTTTATTACTTATGCGCAAGTGCAAATACAAAAAAATCCCAAGTTCATATTTGTGCGTGAATACAAAATACTATTGTGCTCACGTAACTGAGAGAATTTATATTGCCATTGCTGAAGCAAAATACTTTTCTGAAATATGATAGGAGTAAAAATATTCAACACATTGAGTCTAGGTCACGAATTCTGGCCGCATATTCTCAAAGTGATCTTAGCGCTAGCTTCTAACACTGTTTCTAAGATATCTCAGCGGCAGATCTATATATTTCATTATACTTGTTAAATTTTGTTCAATCAATATATTTGAAAAAAGGAAATAACAATCAATAATAATCTGGAGATACTGACTGAAACCGATCATCTGATAGTAATACCAACAACTGATGGAACAAAACTTATCTTAAAGAAGCACGAGATATATAGATATACTATTTCTGACATTTTTTAACTCATCATTTCACATGCTCGTACAGACAGCGTTATCAAGAGAAGATATATAGATATACTATTTCTGACATTTTTTAACTCATCATTTCACATGCTCATACAGATAGTGTAGTGAAAAATAACTAATGTAAAGAATCAATGGATATATAGATATACTATTTCTGACATTTTTTAACTCAACGCTTCATATACTCATACAGGCAGCGTTATCAAGATAAGTGATAAGTAGAATTGCACAAGATGTCTAAATGTAATTCATAAGAATAGTAAAGTTTTAAAACAATCCACATATTAACCTGTGATTATATTGTATTACAGGTAGCTGAAGAAATCTGGGTCTGTGAGAAACAGACTGTCACTAAATGGGAAGGCGATATCTACAGTTATAAAGAGGCTCTCGTCAAACGAGTACAAACTAGGAATTCTAAATTAAAGAAGATGAAGAAATGATGAGAAAGAAATCTAGGCACTGGAAATTAACATTAGGACAATTTTTCATCTATATCATTAATTTATTCAACAAGATCTAAAAAATAAATAAATAAAAACATTCGGTTTAGAGGTGCAAGGAATAGATGTGATGAATTTTGTTTTCTTTAGAATATTTGGCCAATTATTTAGGTCTGAATTAGATATCTGTGTCATTTCATTAGCATGGGTAATATTGTCATCATTCTTAGACAGTTTTCTTAGAAAACATCAAAATTCGATCTACAATCTATATTTTGACAATGCGATGAAATTTGTGTAAAATTTGCAGCTACATTATTTGGGTGTTAAAATTCGGTAGTTATTGGTGTGATCACCTTTCAATGGTTAATAACATTTGGAACTCAGATTGTGTAGATTGTATGCTATGAAAAGCCCTAAGGTCCTGTGGTCTCCAATTTTGATGTTATAAAACTGTACTCTAAGCACAAGATTTTTTATTCCACTGGACTCTCTTATTTAATATAAAATTTATAGATACAACTGAAGTCCAAGTATTTGTAAATGTAGTCAAGTTATAAAATTGTTTTTTTAATGTTTAGAGTTCTTTGCAGTAAATTGTAATTTCAACTTTTCATTCAAAATGTGAACTATTGTAAATAAGTCAATTTTTTCTCTGACAGAACATCTATATACCTGTATTTTATAGTAAACTACATAGAAATTCTTTCAGACTAGATATAAGGGCTACATCTTGAGTAATTCACTCTGGTCATCATTTAAAACTAAACCACTATATTTTGGTATTAGGCTATCACTCTGAATGCAGGTCAGTCTTATTGTATATATGATATAAAACCATTGAATATTTTGGAAAGATATTTCCAGCTAGGAATCTTAAGACTGTGATGTTTAATTGTATTTAAAAATAAAACTTACTTTACTTTTAATAGAGTTGTCTTTTATGACCTTATTTGGAATATATCTTAAAGGAATTGTAAAGAGGTTTTATAAATTTTGTATGTGTATCGAAGACACTGATAGCATCAATTTGCATGACATTACAATTTTCAATCAGACGCCTGTGTTTGATATGATGTCACTAATTGTAAAGTATGCTATATCATAAGGCTCTTCGTAATTAGTGTCTATGGAACTATCAGTGCAATTCAGGAACCCCAGAAGGACAATTGGAATGTTGCAAATAGATGCTTTCAGTGTCCCTCTTTACAATCCCTTTAACATTTACAAAACCAGTCAGTTTTTTTTTAAGGCCCTACTCGATTACAAAAAATCTGAAACTGGTTCGGTACAAAATAACTGCTGGTGTTCAATTGATATCTGAGCTGCCCTACCAGTCTGGTCTCAAACAGAGCGGGGTCTGCCTTTTACAGTTTCAAATGCTATTTATTATACCTCAAAATAATAGGAACTGCTTGTTAGACCTGAACTTGCACAGATAACTGCTCAACTGTAGACTCAAGTATTCATTAAACAACAAAATCAGTATGAAAGGGCATTATGATTTGTGTATCATGGATAGGGCCTAAATTCAATGAATTACATAAAGTTTTGAGTGGAATCTAAACTAAAGCATCAAGTGTTTGATCTCTGGTATAACAGCTTGATTCTTGATCACATCCCATAAAAGCACTGGTCTGGGATAAATGCGATTGGGCAAAACAAAATACAAAGTCTTAAAAATACTTGAGTTTTTATTTCCAACACGTTTTTTTGCGATATAAACTTAGTACACAAAACAAAATCGGCACATGATACATATAGACTGTACATAGTACATGTTAGCTGACCGACTGAACAATCAAAATCATAGTGACAATTAAAATCAACAAGTTCTATACCACTTGACAATCTTGACTAAATTAAAATTTGTCCAGTTAATTTTGACTCTCATTGTAAATCAGGTAAATCTGAAATAAAAAGTTGAGAATTAGTCAGCTGGTCATATTCATTTTTGTAACATAACTGGTTTAGAAACTGGAAATAATCTTTTATACTAAAAAAAAATCTGTTCAAATACTGGAGATGTTTAACTTATAAGATTTCAGCTCGATTGAAGAGTTCTTAACAGGTTCCCGTCTGTTCCAATTCTTGCCTCTATCAAACGATAACGAAACATAATATGTTATAGATTAAAAAAATTTTTCTAAGCCATTTTGAATTCTGTCTACTCCTATTTTTTATTCGGCACAGGTGGAACGAGTTGATTTATTGAACGTCCCATGGATTTCATGAATCATGCAGAACTACCCAATCAAACGACCCCATTTAGATCTCAAAATAATACAAATGAGACAATTTAACAAGGAATCAGATGTAATGGTGTTAAAAGTGCTGAGTATATTGAAAGTGTTTTATATTTTACAAGGAATCAGATGTAATGGTGTTAAAAGTGCTGAGTATATTGAAAGTGTTTTATATTTTACAAGGAATCAGATGTAATGGTGTTAAAAGTGTTAATTATTGAAAGTGTTTTATATTTAACTTACCATCATCATCACTATCTTCTTCATTTTCTTTGTTCTGTAAAATACAAACAAATAATAAACTATTTATACTCGAGGTAAGGGGCAATAGTTAGTACAAGGTGAAACAGTACAAAGTGATAGCAGTCACAGGTATATGTCACATGACGGACAGACTGACGTACAGGAGCGACGACAATATACAACCACACTATAATTGCACTGTCTGTGGTAAAACCATATGGCTGAGACAATCAGTATGCAAGACAAATGGCTGAGCTGTTGACTTACGTGTGCGCTGGTCTTAACTAATTTCGTCTATACCACTGAATAATCCATTGTATTATCTACATTGATATAAGATCTGTCAACAAAACCCTTCAGCAGTTATTTAAAATGATTAACTTACGTCATCAGGTGTAAATTCTTCCATACCAGGCATTCCACCCATACCAGGCATTCCGCCCATACCAGGCATTCCACCCATACCACCCATAGAGTTCATCATCTGAAATACACAATTATGCATTAGTAAAAAAAAACATCAAAATTAGCACCAGTCCTGACATTTTGCCACACTCTTTCCTGCTATATGTACTGCATTGGAATAAATTCCTATAGGCTCAGTAGCTAATTCTTTTAAAAATAATCAGTCCTCTGCTATATATATATATATATATATATTTTGTATTTGAATTAATTCCAAGAGATACAGGAGCTTAAATGCCTTCGAAAGAAACCAAAGCCCTTAATTTCTTACTGTTAAGTTCAGACCAAAGTTAGTAGTTATTGAATAAGAACTTGGTTAAAAGAAGAATCACAATGAATTATGTGAAAATGCTAAAGGGAAAGGTGCATGGACTTCCCAATTGACAATTTGATTGTATAAAGAACTGAAGCAATTGTAAAACAACTAGTGCATTGATAGAAAAGCTAAGTCAAATGAAAAGATAAGCATCAGATTGGCTGTCCAATATCAATATTTTTATAATACTAATAAGCTCTAAGCTCATGATGTGATACTTTGGACAGGTTCAGTCATTAGCTACAATATTGCTCAGTCATAATATTAATATAATTGTATAAAGCATGTGTTTACCCCTGGTGGTAATCCTCCCATAGAACTCATCATCTACAATAAACAATGGAGGATGTCATGTTTTATACATGCACGTGTACTGCATGTTCACAGTTCACAGTTCACAGGAAGTCAATGGACTTGTGTTAAAAATTAGAAAAAATTCAAGTACAAATGATCTGAACCACATAATGAAATCCAAAACATCATAAAGGCAATCCATTGGAAGCTATATATAAATGGCAATAAGCAAACTTTAATGCAAGAAAATTGGCAGGTCAGAAGATATTGGTTAAAAGCTTAAAGCAAACTAATATGCCATATTTTATTTGCCAGTCTGTTCAAAGCAAAATTAGAATGAAAAAAGAAATCTGATTTTAGAATTTAAAAAGCCATTTAAGCGGCAGAGATTTAAATAAAAAAGCTAGAGAAACTCTTTACAATCTCAGTTAAAATTACTTACGTCATCTAAACCATAATTTTCATTTTCTTCTTGATCAGAATCATCTTCATCTTTCCATTTATCAAAATCAGTTTTCAGGAAATGAGGCTGAAATAATTCATAATATTTAATACTGATACAGATTGGCACAGCTAACAAGTGTCTGCTTACTTGTTACAATATTCTATTTTACGGATTATGTTAATTTTTTATTTCTAAAAGTTCTATGTTATGTAATCTTTGTAAGACATATAGAAGCAGGAAGGTAAACATTAAAAACACAAGTTATATGGATATACTACTTCTAGTTTTATTACATACTAAGTTTCAAAACACATACAGGTAACATTATCAAGTCAAATGATTAACAACCAAACAACACAAGATATTGTAATAAAAATCATATAACACATAATCAATATTAGCAAATCACATTATCAGTGGACTTGCTAGCTTTCTAATCGAAGCCAGGTTGCTGTTTGGCATCATTTCTGTATATCAATTCTTATAACTATTCTAAAAAGCTTATTATAAGACCTGTGTTGTTTTGTACTCTGATCATGGGTCTTAATCAAGCTCTCCTAGTCTCCTACCTTTTTGGTGTCTTTTAGCAATCTAGGCCAAAAACTGGTTTCTTGATCTTTTTTCTTGAGGAGAAACACTATATCTCTACCACTATTATGATGCTTAGAATCCTACAAAAACAACAAATCAACATATCATCAAAAACAAGCCTTAGATTCACTGCAAAATGAAACCATAAATCCAACTATTGGCAAAACATTGCTAGCAGCTAATGAACTTTTCACAGGAGGAAGTATATCAATTATAAGTAGGTGTATTTCATAAAGGGAAGTGGTACATCTTACACTCTTATTGATATCTGACCAAGATAATGTAGAGTGAAATGAGGAAGTTCTTTCCATGCCTTTCACCAATAAAAAGGGGCACCTGTTTAAATAATCTGAAAGTACCGGGTAGTCTCAAGTTATTCCATGAAACCCACTCCTCCAGGGTTTTCATGAGGGTTAAAGGCTTTGGTGTAATTGACATAGTTCATGCATATCAATCTAAGAAGACAAAACTATCAGTAGTGTTTACCTCTGGAATGATTTCACTATAAAATTCTAATGTTATCTCATGGGGATGATTGTCTGGTCCTCCATTCCCCCTGAAATATATTACATATTACATTTAAAATAATTATAATGATACTGGTACCATAATAACAACTGGACACAATTATATGAATAACAATTACGTTTCGATGATGATGCTTTCATCTTTATCAAGCAATGATAATTGTGTTACTAAATGCCACCATAATAATAGGATAAGTTAAGCCCAAATAACAAAATAGCATCAATTTTACCAGAAAAGAGGACATAATGTGCCACAGGACAGCTAAGATCAAAATATGGTTATAAATACAACATCATGCACATGATCATGCAAATGGTTGTGGTCAATGTGGATTTAACAACATAATCTGTGTCTGAAATTCAAAGCTTGTGTGAAATAAGCTTACTTGAAGTGTAATTTGTCTGCTGTTAAATCTATCACTGGGTCTTTTACATTCTCTAATCTAAACGTCAACCAAACTTTATCTTTTCTTTGAGCCCAGATCATTGGAGGTACTCTCATACTGCTGCAACATAAAAACAAGGAATTATTGTTAGATGGTGATGAGAACATAGTTTCATAAAAGCACTGGACTAAGTATAGACTCGATGTTAAAGGTGCAATAGTTTAGAGATATTAGAAAGTTAATTACGCATGAATTAGATTAAAGTAATATCTTTGTAAAATTTCTGAAAAATAAGAATTAGGGTGTGTTATCTAACCAGGAACCACTGAATCAATTTTTGAAAAAAGAAACAGAAGTAAAAGGACATAGCCAACCCAACAATGGGCAACAAGGCAAGGCATCTCCATCCTCATCACTTCAGATAAAACAGCAATTGAGACAAAATTCAGTCCAAAAGGCAGAATATTTACAAAGTAGTATGCAAAAGAAAAACACCCGAAACGTACAAGGTAACAGATGAAAAATTCCAGGAGGCGTTTTCAGGAAGTTACCGTTTAAATTCAACTTGTTTTTTTGTTCTCAACCGGCGAAAATCCAAGCACATGCAGTAATCGACGAAAAATGCAACAAAAATATAGGAAAATATGGAGAATTTAATAAACCCTTGATATGATCTCATACAAATTTAGGGTTAGTGGCCGCTTTGTTCTCAATTATTCGATATTTCATAAAATTTAGACATGAAACAGTACCTTTTGTCCGCCATTTTGAAGCGACCATGCCGAGAGTCACGTGTTTTAGAAAGATTTGTAGAGATAATAAATCGAGAATTTTGGCATTTATTATGAATTAAAACACTACGGAAATATTAAAAATAATTCAATTTTTAATTTCAAGAATAATCGAGAAATTCTTAGGCTTAACTGTGGGATTTATAAAATATTTCGCTTCGTAAATAAAATATTTCGTTTCGTAAATAAAATATTCTGAAGGAGTCTAAGATTTAGAGTATCCTAGGTCAAATTAATAAACTTCCGGGTTAAAATAAAATGTTGACAAGTTGAACTTGAAGCGATTGAAATCTAATGGAATTATGGCGCTGTTTGTGAATAGTTTTTGGGTGAGTTTTAAACCGATTCATTGCTAATTTTTATTTTGAATATTTTACAATTTACATGGGAAACAATTTGGCAAACTGTCAAGTTTAATTTGTATTTTTGGTTGGTGGGAAAATAAAGGAGAAATAAGAAATTGTTCGGATACAGACCACAAGTAATTTTGACAGTTCACAAAGGGACATTGATTTTCTATGACACTCCTTGAACATTTTGTCTATTGAAATTTTGCTTGTGATCAATGGGGTTTAAATAGCCATTTTTTTAAAAAATATTCAGCCTGTCAATAAATGACGCAGTCATGAACTCTTATCTTAAACTTTGCTAACACCTACCTATTTGACTAATCGATTACTTAACTTTCAGTCGAAAATTAGAATATCTATGAATTGTTTAGTTTTGTAACAGCTTTAAGGATGTTTCATCTTTCCATGTCAAGCCTACCTTTTTTAAAATTATGAAGAAAATAACAATAATGCATAGTTACATTGTCTCAAGATCGCACAAAGTAACAACATGTTTCAGGTTCTCTTTTAATATTTCTATGCACATTTTTTTCCAATAGTAAAATATGCCTCCATTAATAATTTGACAAATTAGATAATGTTTTGATTGGTAATGCAATTAATCAATTTAGTTTACAGCTCCGTATTAAAGATGGGTTCCCTTATTTTCATTTCATTTTCATTATAAAACGTATATGAATAGAAAGTAGAGGTGTTCTAATGACTTGGAAATATACCAGTTTGTCTCACATAATTAGCTAAATTAGAAGAGAATTACTAGCAGAATTACAATTAGTGACCGATCAAAAAAAGTCAAAAAGCCTTTTTGTTTATATCCAGACTGGACATACATGGACATTTATGATTGGTTAAAACACTTAATTATATGCAATAAGAACATAATGATATGATGAAGATATACTTGATAATTCATTAGAAACACCAATTGGTTAATTTGACACTAAAAAATAAGGAAACCCATCTTTAAATGTTTATTGAAGACAAGTGTCAAAATATTTCACAAATCATAAAGTTGTATATATAACTTGTATTGTATAATAGTTTAAAAAGCCTTCAGGCAAGATGAAGACAAGTCAGTGACATATTAATTTTATCTTTAATCAACATAACGTTCACTGAAATCTTTCGATCTGGTGTTATTTATTGTGAGTCTCAATTTTACAGTTTGCTATTAATACCTTGATCAAAAAAACTGATATGCCTGTGTATAACTGATATATTTGCTTGTATTATCATAATGTTGCCAGCATTGTGGGCCAATAATATCTTTGAATTCAGGGATTCTCACATGGTCTCAATCAATCCACTGATATATTATTGGTCTCAGTTTTACAGTTCATTATACTTTGATTATGATAATAATAGTTGACTTGATTTTCATGGGTCAGAAGTAGGTTCATGGTCCTGTCTATAGGGTCTGAATTTTACAGTGCATTGTCTCTCAAAGAAAATTTGAATATCATGCTTATAATCAAAATGTTCACAATGAAACCCTCAGAAATAAGTGATTTTGACTTTGTTTCTTTCAATACGGAGACAGTTTGTTGGATCTTAATGAAAATTTGATATCAAGCCGATATAATGATTTAATTTGTTCATTTCTATTGTCAGTTATATTGACATCAATGACACCCTCAAAAATATTTAAACTGAATATTTACTATGTCTGAATTTCATACAAATCATTCTGATTTGTTTCTTCCCAATCGAACACAAGTAAGCTGAAATGATACCCTTTAATTTCATCACTAATTTGTAATCGACTCACAAAAAGAAATTAGCTGTTTCAAAATGACATAGCACTTATTTTTAGAATATCATTCTCTCATAAACTTCAAAAAAAGGTCCAACCATTACTCATGATAAAAATATGTTAAAATCGCATTGATACACTCCAATTATTGTAGAGATTTATAATCTGGTCACATAAATGTATGATTCCTACCAGGACCTGGATTTAGTTTGATTCATTTTCATTCTGTCATAACCTTCAACAATTACTCTTGATAAAAATATATTAAAATCTGATACACTCTAATTATTGTAGAGATTTATAATCTGGTCACATAAATGTATGATTTAATTCCTACCAGGACCTGGATTTAGTTTGATTCATTTTCATTCTGTCATAACCTTCAACAATTACTCTTGATAAAAAAGAAACTGTTAATATTAATACACTCCTGATAAATCAACAGTTGAAACCAGAATAAATTTATGATGTCTTTATGAGAGTTAAGTGTCACATCATAATCATTGTTTCAACAGCAAGGGAAATATTCAATATATTATAATGATATCAATGTTATTATCTCAATAAGGTTTTAATATGAAGCAGTTATTTCATATATATATTATATACTTCCTTTATGAGTTTTTTTCTGCTCATACTGACAATACTATTGATATAAACTTATTTGAAGTACAGGTATAAGCTTATCTCATATTGTAATACAAGTATCTTATTATATACCAAACACAAGGCAATATTAGGGAATAAAACCACTTCTTTAATAAAATATTAAACACATTTAGTGATGTTTCAACACAATTTACAGTTGTGGTCATCAGATGAAAAAATGTGTTTAATATTTTATTAAAGAAGTGTGTTTTATTCCATGATATTGCCTTGTGTTTGTGATTTGACTCCTCACTTCTAAATGTTGTTCAAGGCTTAAATATCTTATTAATTTTGAGGTTGACTTTTTATATTTCATATAGACATTTGCTTCATGGCTTAGAGCAAGGCAAGAATAGAACAAAAATGTTGAAATGTTTTTTCTTAAAGGGATTGTAAAGAGGTTTTCTAAAGTTTGTATATATGTATAGGGGTCAATGATAGCATCAATTTGCACCATTTCAATTATCAATCCGAAATCTTTGGTTCTAGCAATTCTACTAAAACTAAGTGTTTTATGACATCACAAGCAAATTTTGCAGGGGTAACGTCATAAAACTTTTAGATTTATTGGAATTGCAGGAACCACAGACATCTAATTAAAAATTGGAATGGTGCAGCTGCAAATTGATGGTATCCCTTGTAAGGAATAAGCATAAAATTGTTAGAAAACATCTTTAAAATCCCTTTAACATCAAACTCGTAAAAAGGGAGATATCAATTATCAATGATGTTTTTGTCCATTGATGCATAAAGTGACTATCAACTGTTTAGCTTATAGAAGTCCATTAAGAAAATATCCCAATGAAATCAATGAATAGAGTGCTCAATCCTGTAAATAATTTAATGATGTGAATTAGGTCAATATTGTATATGAAGATGAATTATAAATCTAAAGGGATAATACTCTTACTATTGTACTTTGATGATTCAGGGCTTTTATTAGCTATTTTCTTGTTCAAATAGATGTATAAATTGAGTTTATGAAGGTGTATTGTAAGTGTTATAGCATTAATGGAAAGGCAAGCAGGTTCTCTTTCTAGAACAAAGATATATATTTCCTTCTATGATTGAGTTTGTCAATTCAGCATCCTATTCTCAAAGTCTTCAATGATATAATGTTTATTTGGTGTTTTTTAATTATTACACAGTTTTTTAATTGAATGATTTACCATTCTAGCATCCCATTCTGAAAGTTCACAGATATAGTCATGTCATTGGGTATTTTTCCTCATGATTTGTGAATTATTAAACTGTTTATGTATTGTATTGACAACATTAATAGGTATAGGCCTAATAGTGAACCCTGTTTTACCCCTTTTCTACTCCCTGTACTATTGTCTGATATACTGGCAAAGAGAAGTAGATGAGACCCGTATTTGTTCTCTGCCTAGGCTATATATAATGATGATGATATCTGTAGGGCCTAGGATGAGAATTGATGATGTTCAATGATCGTCATGGAAAGGATGCAGGATTATAAAATAGTTATCATTATCAAAGCAAAAACATGAAATAAAAGTGTGAATATCATCTTTTATAATCTATTGTAAGTTTATAGTATAATTCTGCATTACACATCATATTTTTCACAATCATTGTGTCAAACTGATTTTATTTTTTGTCCGTTCTGTTTTTTCCCTATGTCATCTAAATGTTGACTCATATTGAAAGTTGACTCATTTTTTATGGCAGTCTTTATCATAATTAAATTGACAACAGATGTAGTGTAATAAGGCTACAATGTTATAATTAGATCAGTTAATAACTCAAAACATTTTTCACTATAGGAAATAGAAAAAGGGCAATTGACTGTTGAAGTAGTACAACTCTTCCTGTGATAAATATTCAAGATAAACTTTGACTTAATTTGACAATAATTTTAAAGAGACAGTGCACCATTTTTTTTTGACCTATCATAGTCTAAAAACTGGAATTTCTCAGCAATGCAAATCAGAAATAGTGTTCACAGCCCACTGTTGAAAATCCATGTGTGTCCAGAATTATCCAGGATTGAATTTTGAAATGACGACTTGTCAATTTAACATACTCTGTGATATATAGAAAAGACTTATGTGGAGTTAATGAGTAAAATTCTTAGTCTGAAGTATTTTTGAAAGGAATTATGCAATTTTCATACATTTCAAGAACTTCTGAAGACTATCGACAAATATTCAAGACAAAATTACCCCCCCTAAATGCTCCTTTTAAACAATGCTGATGTCAG